GCCTCCGTTCCGCCATCTGTGAGAGGCGAAACCAGCGAAACCCTCTCCGAGAGCGGCCGGAGGCGGGGGACGGGGACAGGGACTCGGGGAACGGCGCAGCCCCCGCCTCCGGCCTCTCCACGGGCCTCCCTCATTTGTCGCTTCCGCTGACATCACCAGCAGGCGACGCGCCGCCGTGAAACGTCACCAGGCTGCGACTCTATCGCCGGTCGCCTCCGGGGCGCCCATGTCGCCGCCGCGACGATGCTGTTCTCCCTGCGGGAGCTGGTGCAGTGGTTGGGCTTCGCCACCTTCGAGCTGTTCCTGCAGGGCCTGGCGCTGCTGGCCTTCTCCGTGCTGCTGGTGCTGAAGGTGGACGGGCAGGCCCCGGCGCTCTCCTGGTGGGTCGTCTTCGTCCCGTTCTTCGCCGCCGATGGCCTCAGCACCTACTTCACCACCATCGTCTCGGTGCGGTTGTTCCAAGACGGGGAGAAGCGCCTGGCCGTGCTGCGGCTCTTCTGGATCCTCACCATCCTCAGCCTCAAGTTCGTCTTCGAGATGTTGCTGTGCCAGAAGCTGGTGGAGCACACCCGGGAGCTGTGGTACGGGCTCATCATGTCTCCTGTCTTCATCCTCCTCCAGCTGCTCATGATCCGAGCCTGCCGGGTGAACTGACAGCTCTCCTGGGGACGTGCCCGGCTCGGCAGGGAGCCCCGGACTCGTTGGGCTTCTCCCCATCTTTATTCCTGGACAGGGTGGTAGGGGCAGGTCACACAGGGACCTGCGTGAGCAAGGGGCTGTCATTGAGCCCGCTGCGGTGTTGTGTAGCCTCACGTTTCTTCGAAAGATCCTTTTGTGCCGCATCCTCCTTTCAGTTCGCTCAGCTCTTGGTGTCAGTCTGAAAGCATCCTGCCGTGCAAGCGCTGTTTGATATGCCGGTTATTGTGCTTTAGAATAAAAATGCATGGAAGGATGTTTTATTTATAACAATCTTTTTCCCTAGAAAACATTTGTAGGTTAAACTGCTGCACGGAGAGCAGGAATTACAGGGGGGTTGTTTGGTTGCTGTAGATACCCCCATACACCCCAGACCTCTGCAG